GATTCATCCATTTCCATATTTGATGATTGAGTGAGAGAAAGAAGAAATACAATAATTGGTGATACAAAAGTTGTTTATCGAGTGATATATATTTTTAATTATTTAGAAAAAGTTTAATTAAAAAATATGTGTCTAATTCTTTTTTTCAAAATAGATGTTTAATGTTTTCTTAGTTATCAATATAAGATAGATTTTGTCATTGCCATTAAAAAATTGTCAATAACTCAAAACTAACATGTGGCTTGTTTATAAATATTTATTTAAGGGAACTTAAAATTACTATTGAGTTTTAAAAAAAAACTTCAAATTTCTATAAAATCTAATTTTTTTTCTCAAATCTCTAATCCCAAGTGGGAACTACCCATTGAACTCCTATTGTCAATAATCCCCTTACCGTAGCCCCATTCTTCTAAATCCTTAAATATTAAAATTTCTTGGTGTTTCAAAATCTTAGTGTTTCAAAATCTCTTGGTGTTTCAAAATCTCTTGGTGTTCAAATACAAACAATACTTTAAATAAGTTGTCATAATCATTTTTTCGAAAAACAATTAAATATTATTTTAAAAACGATTATGACTTTAATTTGAAAAATTGATCGGTTTTGAATTGATTTGAATAAATATTGAAAAGAGTCGCCATCGACCTTTGGGTTAGGTAGGTCGAATACCTAAAAACGTGTTTTAAAACAATTTTAAGGAAAAATCGTTTTTAAAACAAAAAAGTGGTCTGCATTCACAAAGATTCAATTTAAAGGGTTTAGGAGTCGGTTACGTGTGGGGAAGGATAAGCACCCCACAGCGCCCAAAATTGGTATTGTGTCGCTTACACGTTGTCGTAATTGGTGGAAATCATAAATCAAATATAAAGTTAAGTTATGATCCATTTATTAAAATTTGATTAATTTGCTTCGAATTATTAATTAGGGAAAATTCTTTAACTTGAAAAGAAATCTCGAGATAAGCAATCCTCCATCGGGAAAGCTATCTCGTCTATTTCTTATCTTTAAAGGATATTCCCTCTTAGAGCCGAAACCATTTAAAGGAAAATTTGCTTATAGAATATAAACTGAAAATCGATAGTTGCATAAAATAACGAAAATTGTCATTTAAAGAAAAATACATTGCATAATAAACAAAATTTAATTAGTAAAATAATCAAGATTTATTTCAAGTTCCCATGTCGTAAAATGTTGTGTCGGATCGCACCACATCGACCCAGTGATGCTTTCCACGCTCATTTTATGCATATGTGTTCTTGAAGCGATTTGAATATATTAATAGATAAAAATAACAATGGAAATAAATGTAATCGGAAATATAAGAAATAAAATATTTGCAGTAAATAAAATTAATAATATTTATTTACATATAATTACAAAATAGGTAAAATATATACATATGTAAAGGACTAAAATAAAAACAAATCATTACACATCAAAATATAAATAACCAAATAAACATATTAGAAAATTTAAGGGACCAAAATAGCAAACACATAAAGTCAAAGGACTAAAATAACAAAAATAGAAACTTCAAGGACTAAAATAGCAAAAACATAAACTTAAAAGACTAAAATAGCTAAAAAAGAAACTTAAAAGACTAAAATAGAAACTTAAAGGACTAAAATTGCTAAAACAGAAAGTTCAAAGACCAAAATAGCTAAAATAGAAACTTATAGGGTTGAACCACAAATACAAATAAACCAGAGCCAAAATCACAAATATTAAACAATACATATACTAGAAATGAACATAACCCATAAATAGTATTTAGGACTAAACTGCAATAAATAAAAACATTAAGGTCGAATCATAAATAAATCACATGTAAAACAGTGACTAAAATGATATATTTACAAATATTATTCCCAAAGTCATACATTAACAAGAATAATATAACATATAATAACATGACTAAAACGTAAAAAAATGAAACATGAGTGCTCAAAATCAAATAAAGTGAAATTTCATTAAATGGTTGAAATAGATGAATTACAACAGTGAGGGGGACCTGGGATGCTATTTACCCTTAACCAAAAAGCACGAAGAAGCCCCTGTTGAAACGGCGTCGTTTAGCGTTATATATATATATAACGAACCAAGGCTAAAATAGGCTAACCCCTTTCATTTTTCATTTTCAACCAAAACCAGAAGAGAGGGAGAGAATTAGACTCTCTCGACTTCACTCTTCAGGAAAGAAGGAGAGGTCGCCACTGACGGAACTCAGGGCAGAGTTTGCGACGATTCACGGCGGTTGGAAAGTACAACCAACCCCAAAAAGCTCCTCCTTTCACCCTCAACTCAAATCCCTAGTTAGTTTAGCCTAAAAACACCCCTAGAACCACAGATCTAGTACTTTACCTTTCGGGAAAAAAAAAGTAACTTCGACGACCCGAGGGCTTCCCGAAGCTCCTCAAACCAAGGTAAGGGCTCTCTCCCTCTTTTTATTTTCTCTTTGGGTTTGAATCTCTCTGGATATTTTCTTTTTTCTTTTGGGTTTTTGTGGTTCAAATTTCTTTTCTGTTTCTTTTCTCCCGAAAACTCTCTCTAGTTTTCTTTTGCTTTCATCGAATGGTCCCTCCCTTTTTATCTCCTCTTTGCACGTTGATTTGATTTGCTTGGGTTCCCGAAATATAGGGGTATGAGTACCTTATTCTACTCTGTTGATATGGTAGATATCGTCAGGATATTTGGTTTCCCCCTTTTTTATTTGTTGTCATTTTTCATTGTTGAAACTGATCTTTTGTCACTGCTTGGTGCAGATCTGTCGGTGGGATGTTCGGCGGCGGCTCACGCGTAGAAGGGAATGACCGGTGAAGTCCACACACCGGCTTGGAAGTTAGAAGACCAAGCGACGGCGATTGGAGCTAATGAACAAAAACCATAAAATTTTAGGGTTACATCATGGTTCAGTTCGGGTCTCTTTCGTGTCGGGTCTGGGCTCCAGCTGGGTTTGGGTCTTCTGTAATTATAGTTGGGCTGCTAGGTTATGAGTCTTGGGCCAAAACCAAGATTTGGGTTAGCTAGTATTGGATCACTTGTAATCTGGTTGGCCTTTGTTGGGCCTCGGGTTGTATTGTCATTTGGCCTGTAAAAATGTGTAACCAAAATAAATAATAATAGTAATAAATAAACTAATAATATTTTTTGATCCGGACAAAAACAGGTGTTTATATAAGTATAAGGATAACCAAAAAGAAAATAATAAAAAGGAAAATAGAGCCTTAGTGAAGCCAGGGCTTATGTTTTCACACGAATGGAGACTCGACTAAAAAGTTTAAACGATGAATAGACTTCTCGAGGTGTGGGGAACCATGTAGCTCAAAGGTAGCGCTATCAGACGTCTCATGACGACTATTGGAGAGGTTGAGATGCAAAAAAAATCAAAGGAATTTTTTGTAAATCTACGACAAACGACATCCAATCGGATGAAAATGAACCTTGGATCCATGCTCAGTGGACCAAAAAGGTCTTACTTAAGAAGTTTGGTTTCAGTCGACCACTAGAGGTGATAGTCGACAAGATGATCACACGGTGATTAGTGATGGTCTGTAAGATTGGTCTGAGATTTTTTAGAGAAAAATGAAAAAGGAAGAAGGAAGGAAAGAGGGAAAAAAAAAGGAAAAAAGAGGAAAAAACAAGGGATTAAAGGTTTATATATTCCTCCAAAATTGTGTCATTTTGGATAGGCGGCTAAAGGGCTAAAACGACTTAGTTTTGGCACATGACATGTGTTGACTCGCGAGTAATTCAATCCAATAGGAGAATCCGTGTGATTTTAAGAAAAAACAGTAATTATGATTTCAATCTTTCCTAATTTAGTAAGAATTCAATTTGATCTCTAATTTCAAATTTTAAATGTTATTTTAGCCATAACATTTTTCTATTTGAGCAATTAAGGTCTTGAATTTATAAATCAATTATTAATGGATTATTTTAATATCGAAGGATATTAATTTGGGGTCGTGTTCATGATGTGGACCACCAGTCTTCGTGAGAAAAAAGAGAAGGGATAAAAGCTCGAACATAAAGGTAATAAGCTCAAATTCAAAAAAATTAATGAGAGTACACCTTGAACTCTAAAATATTTTATGGCTTTTATAATTATTATACTTTGCATGTCATGTTTGGACCATTGATTAAATATTCATGTAGAAATAGGAGAAATTATCGAATTTTTATAATCACGGATAATGGATGTTAATGACTAGTAATGATTACGAAAGGCTGAAATTTTATAGAAATGTCATAAGACTTTCGTATTACGAGTTAAATCTTAGTAAAAGAATGAAATGCCCTCAAGTAAAAGAAATGACCAAAACTTCGTTGCTGTTAATTAATGACAATAAGATGTATAATTTGAGGAAATTATTTTAAGACCACCTTGAGCCGATTAATTAAATATTCTATTCATAAGTTGTAAGATGTATGATATACTTTCAAGTGAAAAGTACTAAAATATTCATATGGATTAAAATGACTAAATTGTTCTCACATGTCTGAGTGAATGAAATGATTAGAGATAATAAAAGGATTAAGTTGTTGTGATTAAGAATTGATGAAAATACTGATATGATTAACAAAACGACTAAAGTGTCCATATGAGAAAAAAATGACCAGAATACCTTTTTAGGTCGAATGACCAAACAACTTCAAATTATTATTATTATTATTACTACTATTAATTTAAACGCAACAAAAGCGTAGATAAACTGACGCACTTTCTATTTACCTTTGTTAAAATATTTTTGCTTGTTAAGTAAGTATGTCACGTAGGATAAATGCACGTCTGATCAGATGTACCTTTAAAAATGTGAATAATAAAACATATCGTTACCTTAAGTGATATACTCAATAAGAAAATTGTTACTTTTATAAGTAATTGAAGATGAATGTCATTACTTCAAATAATTTAGGGAATTATGCGATCCATTAAAAAATCATAGATAAAAGGGAGAGACAATACTCTAGAATAAGGAGAATTCACAAAGGGCGCAATGACTTAGACAACTGAAAGTAGTGGCTTCCACTTCCATCAGTTATATCATTTAGCTTTGAACTGAGCTCTCTCCATTGTTCAAGTTTTCTTGTTTCTCTATCTCTTTGGTCCCTAAGATTTGCTAAAGATGCGTAGCATGGCAAGCTCTACCTCTGCCAAAGGCATAGCCGCCATTGTAGGCGTCGGACCTAAGCTTGGACGATCCATTGCCCGCAAATTTGCTCATGAAGGATACACCGTTGCTATCCTCGCTAGGGATTTGGGTACTTTCTCTTTCTTTACCCTTAAAAACGTCTCTATTTCTTGTTATCCTAATCTTGGATTGTATGTTTTCAGGTCGATTGTCAAGATTTGCAGATGAGATAGCCAGGGAAGAGAAAGCCCAAGTGTTCGCAATCAGAATAGACTGCTCGGATTCCAGAAGTGTTAGGGAAGCATTTGAAGGAGTTCTTTCACTTGGATTTGTTGAAGTTCTGGTATATAATGCATATCAACCGGTTTCATGGTACTCCACCAACTTCACTGACATTAAAATCGATTCCTTTGAGAAATCTCTTACGGTCTCCTCCATTGGAGCTTTCTTTTGCGTTCAAAAGGTACTCCTAATTCCCCATTTTGTTTCATTGGTTTCCTTTAATTACTATTTCTTTTTTCTTAAGCAATTTCTACTTTTGATGTGCTAATGAATGAAAGATACTTCCGGGGATGGTGGAAAGGGGAAAAGGAACCATTCTCTTCACTGGCTGCTCAGCTTCACTAAATGGCATTGCTGGTTTCTCTGAACTATGTAAACTCTCTAGCTTTCACCCATTGAACGTATGTGATATCATAAATTTACCAAAACCCAACTTTAAAATGAATGAGAATAATTTAGCAGTAGTTTGTTTTAAATGAAACAGGCTGTGGAAAGTTCGCCCTGAGAGCATTATCCCAATGCCTGGCAAGAGAATTCCAGCCTCTCGGTATTCATGTTGCCCATATTATCATCGACGGCGTCGTCGGTTCACCCAGGTATATGGTACACATATATATATGTATGTATGTATGTATTGATCGAAAGAATCGTATCCCATTTTCATGTAGCAGATAAGCAACTCAAAATTAGAATAAAATCATTGAAATCAAGTTGAATGATGAACAAAATGGAAATGCAGTGGGGCATCGACGTCGCAGAGAGGATTGTTTCTGGAGCAACAGCAGCAACAGCAAAGCGGCGGAGACGTCGGGGCGGTGATGATGATGATGGATCCGGACGCGTTGGCTCAGACCTACTGGCACTTGCATGTTCAAGACCGGACCGCTTGGACCCAGGAGATTGACCTCCGTCCCTCCACCAGATTCTATTAGCCATTATTCAATATTCTCATTTCCTCAACTTGTTCCTTTTTACAGCTTCTACTATATATCCTTTCCTCTCTCTCTCTCTCTCACGCACATAGTCAATACATTTCCATTCTACACAGTTTTATTTATTGTTCTTTACAATTGTTGTTGTCATTACAAATTTAACTAAGATTTGCTATGTAAATGCACTCTGGGGTTTTTCCCTTATTCCTTCTTCTTTTATTTTCATTATGTATAAATACAATTGTTTACATTTTCATTGTGTAAATATTAATCTGTCAGCTTTAATTACCAGTGCATACATATGATTGGAATTAATATAGAAGAAATATAATAATTTAAGTAATGTTTTCATTTTCTTCACAAATAAAGAGAAGTGCTTTTCCGAAACTGCATTAATTATTTTTTTCTAGTTATCAGAGGATTTTTTTTCATAAATTATTGGCGCTGAAAAGGTCACCTCAAATTTTGTAAGCTATAATAACGGATGAATATGCAAACAAACAAATATTTCTCTTCTTGAAATAGGAACCCTAAATTTCTAATTCAGGCGTAAACAGTGACAGATTTTTGCTTAGAGGAGTACGTTTTTATTTTAAAATTTAAATTTTCTTTAATAATTATATATTTTATAATTAATATTTATCTTAAACTTTTATTTGTGTTTATACTGTCAAAAACTGATGTTTTTAATATATATATTCATATATATATATATATATAGATATTTTTCTCTTCAAACTTCTTTTACAACAAAAGCGTTGAAAAGTAATTGTCGGGTTGTTGGTAATAGAACTAATTAAGTGGAAGAGAGGGTCCATGTTAAAAAGTTTGAGGTGTTTTGATACGAGAGTTGCATGGATACAATTACGACATCGTGTTCTAGTTTAGGACACACACCCTTTATTTATTTCTTTTTCATTTTAAAAAATCTTTCATCCATCTAAAGATGAAAAGGTAAATGTTAAAAGAAACCATAATCAGTGAACCAATTTTAAAGAGATCGGAAATTTAATAAATTAAAGGTAAAAGAATACGTGAGGCCCTTGTATTTAAAAAAAATTTAATGTGATCCTTATCATTTTTTTTACTAAATGTGACCCTCAAATTTGGAAAACAAATTCAACGTGGCTTTTAAACCAACGATTTTCGTCGTTTACAATTATGGTGTTGACGTTACATTTCACAGTGCTGACTCGACAGTTCACAGTGACTGGTAACGTGGTAGATGAGCTAAATAGACCTTTTTGATCTAGTTCGAGGGTCAAATTGGGTTTTCTTTTAAGTTTAAGGGCTTATTTGTTTTTAAAAAAAATTATTTTAATTTTAAAATTTAAACTATATAAATATAGAGAAAATTAAATATAAAAATAAAAATAAGTTACTAAAAGAAATATATATAGACATTTTTAAAAATTAAATTATCAAGGAAATATGTAGAACAAAAATGAGCAACTTGACCACTCAACTAAATATACTTTCTCGGGAATATTATTTATAAAATTATGATACTTAAATTGTTTTTGAATATCAACCTTTAAGTTAAAAATAATAAATTTCAATACATATAAATACTTATTTTTTAATTATAATAATAATGTTAACTAAATTAATATCCAATCGATAATTAAATAAAGTTACTCCAAGAACTAAATTAATATTAACCTTATGTTTTTAATTTTTTTCCCGTGGATTTATACAAATTCTTTCAACTTTTTGTACATTCAGTTTTAACAGATTATTCATAATCTAAATTATCCAATTTTTCAAAAGAATCAAATTTCTTGACAAATTTAAAAAATACACAACCATCGTACACAGAGAATAATAATATTTTCAATCATTATGAGTAATATTTATATTTTTAATTTTTAGTATTTTTAACTTTTATTTTTAGTATTTTTATATTTATTTTTTATACTTTTATAGTTTAATTTTTAAAATTTTAAATTTAAAATAAACGTTTTCTGAAAAATCAAGTTGATCATCGAACTCTACCAAAAAAACCAATTTAACTCATCTGCTATATCATCTTCCACGCCACCAACCACTATGGATCGTCATGTTAGTATTGTGAAGTATCACGTCAGCACCGTAACAGTCAACGATGGAAATCGTTAGTCAAAGGGCCACATTGGGTTTGTTTTCTAAGTTTGAGGGTCACATTGGATGCAAAAAAAATGAGAAGGTCACATTGATTTTTTTTATTGAAAAGTACAAGGACCTCACATACCATTTTGCCTAAATTATATATTATGTATTTAATAAATATTTATTAAACACACTCTAGATGTGGTATGTATTTTAGAATCAAATATTTAATGAATTAAAAAGAAAAATAATGTCATTTTTCTTTTCAGTTTTTATTAAATAAATGTTTGAATTTCAATATTTTTAGAAAATCATTTTGTCTCTATAATATATATAAGTATTTTATCTAACATAAATATTATAATACAAAAATCTAATAATTTATAAATTATTAAAACAAATAATAGGGGTCAATTATGGTTTAAATTAATTTTTCAGGGACTGAATCCAATACAAATAATATTATATTTAAATATTAAAAAATAGATGTCAACTGTAGTGTAAATTAATTTTTGAGGGACTGAATGCAATAAAAACATTACAATATTACAAATATTATAATAAATTATAAAATATTTGAAAAAATAGGGATCACTTTTACTTGAAATAAAATTTTTGACGATTAAATCAAACAAAAATATTATAATTGTTATAATAAAATAAAATAATAAAAACATTAGGGGTCAATTTTAATATATATAATTTTTTCAAGTTCGGACTCTAGTAGAAATATTATACTACTAAAAATATTAATATAAATTATAAATTGTATAACAAAAATATGAGTCAATTTCGTTTTAAATTAACTTTCTAGCGAATGGGTACAAAAAATATTATAATATTTAAAATATTAAATTAAATTAAAAACTATTAGAAAAATAGGAATCAATTCCAGTTCAAATTAACTTTTAAAGTATTGAATACGACATAACTATTATAATATTATAAATAATAAAATAAATTAGAAAATATTAAAAAAATAGGGGGCAATTTTAGTTTAAATAAAATTTTCCACCGAAACTAACATAAGTATTATAATACTAAAAACATGTTTATGATTTATAATTTTTTGATTAATTTGGAGTAAGTACAAGACGGTATATATTCAAAGATAATTTTCAACTATTTTATATTAAATACTTACACTCGTAGCATTCATAATACTCGAGCCTGGGACCTCAAGGAACAATAACAATTTCTTTACCATCGAGATTGATTGGTTCATGCAATTTAAAATAAATTATTAAACAAATAATATGGGTCAGTTTTAGTTTAAATTAATTTTTCAGGAACTAAATCCAAAACAAATATTATAATATTTGAAATATTAAACTAATTTTAAAAACTATTAGCCAAAAATAATAATTAATTCTTATTTAAATTAATTTAAAATATTAGGCATCAATTCAACTGAGAAAGCATATAATGTCACACATATCAGCTAGTTAAAACTTTAGCCTATGACAAGTGGTATTAGCAAGTTTAGGGGGCTTGTAATCGAAGCCAACTTGCAGTTGCAGTCAATCGTGGCTATTGTTTGCGTTCGAACTAGTCGTGGTTATCATCAAACTAGTTTGTGACAAATTAGTGATCGAAGCACAACAAAGAGGTGTCGTTTCTATACGAGAAGGCTAGGAGTGTCGTGGTGGGAAACAAAAGAGGACATTATCGAGGGATGAGATATACAATGCTCTCCAAGAATTTGATGAGATGAGTAATCTAATCAAATCTTGGGTGGATATTCTGAAGGAAATTTCATCATCATTGGAGAAGAGGATATCCAGACTTGAGAAATCCAAAAGGGGAGTCAAGGAGACCCAAGGTCTTGTGTAATCACGTCTTGACAAGTTGGAGTCCATTGAGGATCAATTTAGGGATGAAATACAACGTATTCTTAACGAGGGTTTTGAAATGATAGTCCCGAAGAGTGGAGCGCTCAAAGTTGAGATAATAGCTTTAAGGAAAGAGATTGATGCGCTCAATAGTGAGCTATTCATTTACAAGGATACAATGAGTGAATATAATGTAGTTAATACCTTCATAAAGGTATAAATATCACGGGCGAAGCTCACAGTGGAGTAAGGAGATGCCACATTTTTAGAGGCAGTAGCTATATCCAAGTTATGGTTTGAGCTTACGGTACACAAGACAACCAACAATGATTTGTCCAAGCCCATGCCCAAAGATATCGACGAAGATGGGGGAGACCATGAAGAGGAACAATCAATAGATAACGAAGAAAGATCTTCGAGTGGCTAAGAGGATCCATCAAGTGCCCCTAGTCGTGGGAACACATCAAGAAAGAATGGCAAGGCCAAGTCCACATCAAAGAAGAAGAGAAAAAGCAAGCCATTGAAGTATTACTTCTATGATAGTCTTCACTTGATTAGAGGATGTCCCGAGAAGAATCACATTGTTGTCATTGTCAAGAGAGAAGATGAGACAAAAGGTCAAGTCGAGGGTAAAGAGGAAGCAACTAAAGTGCTATTGATGTAAATGGTCACATAAATTGCGAAGATGCCCAGATCGAGTCAAGTAGTCCAAGAAGAGGAAGCAACTAAAGTGCTATTGATGTAAAGGGTCACATAAAGAGCTATTGATGTTTATTACTACTAAGGCGAGTGGAAGCCAAAAGAAAAAAGGTTGGACACGTCCAAGAAGGCTGCCAATGATCTTTTGTTGAGGATGCTCGAGACAATAACATCACTTCGGAAGTCAAAATTGGAGAATGGTCTTAAGATTCAAGTTGTTAAGGGACATAGAAACCATGGAGACATGATCCATATAGGCAAGGTGGATGAGACATAACAGACCTCGAGGAAAAGGGGTCAGAGAAAAAAAAAAGGCATTGGACTTCAAGGAATAATAGTCAATGCAAAAAGAGAGAATCAAACTTCATGAAATAAGGGTCGATGCGAGGGGCGTCAAATTGTCACACCCTAATCAATTTCATTCCAAACCCATAGGATT